CACCGGGGCAACCGGCTCTTAAGGGCTCCAGCTATTCACACGCAGATTCAATAGTTGTTTTTGCAGCGCAGGTGGAATGTCGTGGCAGATACAGACTGCAAATTGCTGTCTTTGGACTTTCAGACCTTGGTCGAGGCCTTTGCAAGATTCATAATCAATTGGTTTTGGATATGCATTGTCAAACTTTTGCTTGCAGACGCAACCACACATGCAAGTTTGTAGACAAACATGATGTTTGCACCGCACATGTATCATGTGTTCAACTGGGCCCTGACTACCTTATTTGCTTTGCAGACGTCAGAACTTGTGAAATTCAAAGTGCATTCTTCGCAGATGTTTGCAAGTGATGTTGATGAATGCCTGCAGCGAGCATTTATGGCTTGATGCTCAGCAAATTCTATTCTTTTGGGACCTTTCAAAGAGACATTCCTCTTTTGGCCTGTTTTCCTGTTGCTCCATTTTCAACTCTTTCACAAGCGAAGTTGATGAACATGGCCGGTTGAACTTCACGTGGTCCAGGTTTTCGGCCTGAACCAAGTGCCTTTTTTGGCAGGGCTTGCTGCGACGCAGAAGCTACTTTTGGCATCGGCCATGGAGGTGCTTTTGAGTGCCGCAAGACAGGATAAGATTCTTAAGATCAAATTGGATGCAACTGTGGCTTTGATCATTGAGTTTGACAGTGTATTGGGTGATTTGCTGTAATTACAGTAACTGCTAGACCAAACATGAGCTCTCGTCATACACTGCCATCAAGCTGCAAGCCTTTGTAAAGTTGTTCAATAGCAGCTTTCATGTTTCTTACGCAGGTGGAGAATTACAAGCCCGGAGAGCTTTTGACTGGAGATGTGCAGTGCGCCTCCAGGGTTCTAGTGAATGGATGCTCACTGCTGAATTCATGTTTAACGTGGACCAAGGTTTGCTTTGGTTTTTGATGGCACCTTGCTGGTGCATCGCAATGATGCCCTTGAAGAGGTGGTTTCATATTGTTGAGACTATTGCACTTTCACCATGCAGCAACACGAAGATATGATGTTTGCATATTGGCAACGGCTCTGGGCACAGGCAGTTCCGCGTTTAGTTGGTGTTTTTGTGACCTGTTGTGAATTTGGCCTGTTGTTCCTCCAGGAGTTGGGCCACGGGGAGCGGTACATCAACTCAACCTTGTTCTCACCACAGGAGAGAGTTGGATTTGTACACCAAGTCTCAGCAGAACTGGTCGAGACACCGTGGAGACTTGCGAACTGGAATGCGTTGAATGGTCTGTTCCTGCGATCCTGAAGGACGAGGCAGAGCGGATGTATGAGGAGAGTGAGGACTTGATTTGTGCTTTGTCGAGGATTGCGGTTTCTGACTTTTTCAGATGAGCATCGAAGGATGAAGCTCCTGAGGACAGCTGCTTTGGGACTTTTCGCATGTAATACTTATCGTCACACGAAGAGTGTTGTCAAGAAAAGGGATAAAGATAGGAGAGGAGATGATGCGATGAGTCTCACAATCCATCATCTTCCACGGATTTGACAGAGGTAGTATATAGTGGCCTTTGCAAACCCTCCCCTTTAGAGTCAGATGGCTTAGGTGTGGTGTGTCCATGTGCTGTGGACATCACCTCCACCTATTGTTGAGTGCTCTTCAACGACCTGACCAGGCAGCCATCCAGCTTGTTGCCGGAGAGTTGGGCCTCACAGTGGGCACCCTTGCAGGTAAGCGTGCAGCACAGGCTTTCAAGGAGCACTTCACACCTCCATCGACGTTTGGTGTTTCAGAGGATTTGTTTATATAATCTCTTTTGTTAGGGACTTTGTACTCTTCCGTTTCCAACCTATTTATGAGGCTTACGCCTGACAGCCGGGCGCCGGCCTATTTGGGTTTGGGTATGTGCAGGGCTGGGTCCTCTCTCTCTCTCTCTCTCTCTCTTTCTCTTTCTCTTTCTCTCTCTCTCTCTCTCTTTGAGACTTGGTGGGGCCTATATTGAGCAAAGTTAAGCTATCTGGCGCGCATCTTGGTCCTAGGTTGGGCCAAGTTGAGCCCATGTGGTCTATGTTGGGCGCATCTTGGGCCCAAGTTCAGCCTATGTTGGGGCCTAGGTCGGCCTATGTTAGGCCTATGTTGGCCTAGGTTGGGCCTATGTTGGCGTATGTTGGCCCCATGTTGGCCTATGTTGGCCCTATGTTGAGCCATCTTGGAGGCTATGTTGTGCATATGTTGGCTATCTTGGGTCTATGTTGGGGAGATGTTAGGCAACTTATGTGCCCAACACCCACGAAATGTCGATTAAGCCTGTCCGCGCGGCACGCATAACCGACACCACCGGCGCCCTGTTAGGCGAAAGTCGTGGACGCCGAAAGCCACGAAGCACTGTAAAGCACGATGTTTTTGAACATTTTTTGAACATCCTGCGCAAGATACATATAAATCTGTCGACCAGATTTGGGCGGGGGTCGACCGGGGGTCGACACGGGGTCGGGCGGAGGTATCCCCGCGGTCGAACAAAAGGGTCGGCGGCAGGGGCGGCGAGCGTATATAACCTTCGGTTACCAACCGAAGGCCTCCGGCAAGGGAACGTGCGCGTGGCCGGCGCCCGGATTGAAACAGGCTAGCACCTGCAGCCGCCGACCCCTAGGGGCCAGACCACAGGCAGCCAAATGGGTTAGGTTTTTTTTTGAAAAATCGGGGAACCCAAAAAACAACACGGAACCCCTAGAGACATGATCTATCACTGCATCACCAAAGTAGGCAGAAGAGAGCACGGCAAATGGGTTTGCATTTTTCTTTGAACATCTGGGAACCCAAAACACAACACGGAGCCCCTAGACAACCACAGAACTTCCTAGAAAAGCCATAGAAAAGCCATAGAAAATCCTGGAAAAACCATCGAAAAAGGCATGAAAGGCATGAGTAAATCTTACAAAAACCTTTGAAGATCATAGAAATCCAGCGGAAAACGTTACAAAATCTAGGAAAAGCCAAGGGCACTGGCAGGGACCAGGCCGGGACTCGAGCCCGGGACCATTTAGGGACCGTGCTTATTTTCCCGCGCGGGTGGAGAGGGTGCCCCAATCCCCAGTAAGAAGCAAACGAATACATTTGGAGAAATTTTGGACAATTCTTGGCTACTTTTCGTCACTTCAGCAAAGGGAGGTATAGCCTTAATCATAGCCTTAGCCTTAATCATAGCCTTAATCAACAGTCACGCCTGACCCCACGAGTGGGGTCGGCGGAGTTTGGTTCTTAGTTTGGTTTTGGCCTTTTGTTCCTTGCTGACTGTCAGCTTTGATATGCAGGAGCTTGGCGTATCACCAGTATTGAGTGCCGAGGATAGAATCATGTTCACGTGGAAGGACTATGGTTTTGGAAACAGCACTCGGACGTGCACTTGCACAGGAGACCACAGACATTGCCCTTGAGGTTCTGCAGGCATTGCAACACCGCTTCACGGTTCAACTTTTGATAGTGAAATGCTTACAGCTCCTTGCAGCTCTCTGATAGGCGCACCGAGTGTGATGGCCTCAAAGACGCACAATGCCATGGATCAAGTGGGACTTTACGCGTTCCCAAACATTGCGAGCACTCTCATTTTGCATCGGTCGTGTCAGCACACCCAGTGTCAATCCATTGGTGTGCTGCTACTTCGATGTATCATTTTATTTTCATCCCTCATCCCTCGACTGGCAGATGTTCTTTAGTGAGCTTCCTGTTGATCGATTTGCTCATTTCCAAGTAGGTTTACTGGCATTTTGTAGGAGCGTGCAGTTGCCGCACGTTTCTCATTGTGGTTTGTGTATGTTTCAACGATGCTGTTGTTTCCACCTTCGTGCTGGACTGCACCCACGCTATCTTGCCTATCAAGGTTGCAAGTTTGTTGCGAGGTCGGTGCTGCGGCATTTGTCCTGCAAGCAGATTGAGCGTTTGGTGAAGCAGTCGCGTGGATTGCAATTAGAGAACGTTTCTTCGAACAAATGTATAGCAGGCATCCCTCAAAGGTTGTTAGATTCTGAGGTTAGTGCCTCGGGTCTACGTCCATGACACCTTCATTTTTGAGCAGGTTAGGGCGGTTGCATTTCTGTTTTGAGGAAGGAGCAATTATGACCTGATTTCACATCATTTCAGTGCTTTGCCGGCAGGGGGAGATTGGCACCGCTTTCTACATTGTGGCCAGCGGGCAGGTGCTTTGCGCGCTTCCCGCTCTTTGCCGTTCAGCGCTTTCAGCTTCCGACCTGCTGTTCTGCACTTCGTCCTCTATCAGGTTCAAGTGATCATTGATGGCAAACCAGTTCGTACGCTGGCTAGGCAGGGAAATACCTACCTTTTGGATGTATCAACGTTTGATGGTGGGCTCATAAGTCAGAAGGTATAGAGTCTGATTGCCTTATTAACAGTGCGCTAGACTGTTCCAGGTGTGAATTCCCGGTGTGCAGCTTTGCCCATGAACTGTAGTAAGCAAGAAGTTTGTGGGGACTTGCATTCGATAAAGATCTCCAGGCATGGACACTTTGGAGAACGTGCGCTGCTGTTCGAGGTGGTATGCTGCTGAAAAAGATAACTTGTGATAACCTTTGATTAACGCCCTTCCTTTTGTATTGCAGCTTCCCTCAGAAGGGCATGTGGCTTGCCACAGGAGCCTCGTACAGCGACAGTTCGAGTTTTGAGCAGCGAGGCATTCACAGCAATTGGATCAGCTTCTTTCAAAGCGAGACACATTAAACTTGGCCCAGAAAGACATGATGGCTTGCCACGGTAGGCAGAGCTTTGGTGTTTGGAGAAGGCTGCCTTTGTGGAGGTTCTTACTGAGAACCTGCGTGAGGCGCTGTTCTGTTGCTTTCAGCGGACAAAACAGAGTTTCCTGATTTTTCTCGCAGGAAATCATGCGGCGGATTGAAATTCAGGAGAGGCATTGGCCGCCTTGGCCAGTTTTATTGAGCCCTTTATTCTTGTTAGCTGCAGGACTCCAACGTTGAGCTTCAAGATCTCACTCATGTGAGAGTCATTGGCATCGGTGGTTTTGGTCATGTGAGGCTCTCCTCATTTGCTTGCTTTCGGATGTTCAGACTGCCCAATAAAGATCAATAGAGTGCCTTCTGAAACATTTTTGTGCATTTGCCGAGTGAGATAGTCACACCACTTTCGTTTGAGGCTTGTTGAAGACCGTGTCACTGGCTTGAGGCCCTTTTCTAATCATTCTAATCTCGAACATAGCTTCAATACCACTTGTAAATGATTTTGCCGGGTCTTTGTTCCTGCGTGCTTTCACAGTTTAGGTACGCACTCAAGCAGGTCAAGAAGGTACTCTCCCTAGCTTCTCCAAGTACCTGGCCTTCTGTGAAAACTGCAAGAAGGGATGATCAGCAATCCGCAAGCACAGTGAGCATTATCAGGTCGATGGCCAGGTGCCTCCGCATGTTCGCCAAGGGCTTATCGAGATCGGGCAGACGCAGAGCATTTTCCCTTGGCTGTGGCACAAATTTGTTCCGAGACAGCACCCAAACGTATTAAAATAATATATATATATATACACATAAACTTTTTGGGTTATCGCTTTATTGGACTCATGGCCCAGCTGTGGGATGACCTTTGACTTTGACCTTTGACAGAGGTGGTGAGTGTGAGCTTTTGGCTGAAATGGAAACTTGTTCTGCACATAATTGCAGATTTCAATCTGGAAGTCTTTTTGCTGTCCATATACGTTTTTTGTTTGTTGATCGTTCATTTGCATGCTGCATTCTTGCTGGGTTTTGAAACACAGTTTAGTCTCCCTCGATTCTTCATTTGTTGGAAAGGACCACCCTTTCATCCTGGACGTCATGAACACGTACCAGCCTGATGGCAAGCTCTTTCAAACACAATAGCTAGGAAGTGAAGTGAGGAAACTCACCTAATAGGAATGGCCTCCAACCTAGAAGCGATGTTCTGCAACCTAGAAGCGATGGCCTCCAACCTATATAATAGCGAGAGATAAAATTATTGAGATATTGGAGTATGATCGAATTGACGGAAAACATGGCTCCACTTCACAAGGTACGAGACTTCTTCCAGCTTCTATATCCTGATGGAGTATATCATGGGTGGAACTTTGCGACACGTCATCAAGGCAGGGATCTTGCTTTTCCAACCTTTTTGCTTTGTCTATGATTTTTGAGGACGAGAAGGCCTGAAACATCCCTGCCAGGAAATGCAGAAACCCTTTGAGCGCTCAGAAGCCAGATTCTATGTAGGGTCCCTGATTCTGGTCTTGGAGGTCTTGCATGACAGGCAGCGCTATAAAGCTCTTGGGGCACATCAGTGCATCGTCATGAGTCACAAGTGACAACGTAATCTGTTGCGTACCGACGACGACACGCAAGTATGGGAAGATGTCAGGATGTTCCGTGGATTGACTCAGGTGGTTTCATTGTCTCATTTTTGAAGGCACAATTTTGTTCGAGATAGTTTTGAACGGAAGGAATATTGTGTACCGGGACCTGAAGCCGGAGAATGTCATGGTAGATTCCAGAGGCTCTGGGCCTTGCCTCTTCGCATGTTGCAACGGCAACGACAGATATCCGATTTAGAGCCAGAAACCGCCGAGATGGAATTCCTCTCTGCTCAATACACTGTGACCCGCGGGCCAGGCTATGTCAAGCTTATTGACTTTGGAATTGCCAAACGTTTGGATGAGGACAGACAGAACTTTGTTGGGCCAGGGGCAAGGTGGAAAGGCAGGCATTGCAAGGCTGTTAGGAGGAGCGTCCTTGCTCCCAGTCGTTGCCGTGTCAGGATGGCCGTACTTTCACATGCATTGGCAGCCCACACTACATGGCCCCCGAGGCTGGGAGTGATCGGTTTGTTCCTTTGAGAATGAGGACATTCTGAGCAATCGTCATGATGAGGCAATTCTGAGCCGTCGAGAAGGATATGGCACGGAAGCAAGGATCATAGCATCACTCCATTCCCACAATTTGCCTGTCAACTTCCCTGCTAATTTCGAGGTTGACACCTGGGCATTGGGTATTTTGCTCTATGAATTAGTCTGTGGATGTCAACCATTCGGAGACGCTGTGAAGGAGAAGCAGGCTGTGGCCTGACTAGCACAGCTAGACAGTTCTGGACCCATTGGACTCCTTTGCGCAGGAAGTGTTTGAGGCTGTGCTGAAGCAGGCGCTGGAGGGGATAGGGGGGTTGTGCTTGGTGCAAGCGTGCTAAAGCTTGGCAAGCGACACAGGCGCTGATGTTTCCTGCAAGCTACAACGATGAATGTGGGAAAGACCTCCTGCAGGCTTGAGGACAAAGAGTAAAGAAGTTAGTGATTGGGCGCTCCTTTCCCCCAGGCCATGCTTGACAAAAGCCCAGAAAACCGACTTGGAGCTGGTGTGTTTGGATGGGATGACATCAAGGAGAGGAACTTACAGTAGATGAATTGCAGAAGGCAGGAAGCAGAACATGACCAAATCTTGCTGGTGCGAGTTACACTCAGTTTGGGACCATTGTGAACATTCTTGAGGTAGATATTCCTGCCGTTACTACACTACTTGATTGGGGCTTGGATACAAAATACCTAAAGGAAATACCATGCACCAGAGGAAGGGGCATGTCGATACGATTCACCAGAGGAAGGTGTGCGTCGCCATAATGTGGAAAGGAGCATGAGTACTTTGTCCACACCGACAAGGGAAACCTATTTGCTGCTTATCTGCAAAATCACATACAGTAAGTCTGAAAGTCCTATGTCTCAGACCAAGGATGATATTGTTGAGCGTCTATTGCTGCCACCTTATCTACCTGCTGGCGAATTTTCTTGCGATGAAGTGCCCCAGGCCAATGGAGTTTGGGATTTCGGCTTTTGCAGCTGAGATGCCTTTGCCATGGCTATGCGCCAGGAAGTTAGCATGAACAAGTGGAAAGCTGAAAAGACCATTGCTCGCACACGCACGCGGCAGTTGAGGCTGGATGACACTTTCTGTTGAGCATGAATAGGTTTGGCATTGCTGGATTCCTCAGGAGACCTGCTACTTTCGCGACTTTTACCTCCAAGTAAGGTTTTCTGCACAGAGGCCTGAGTGGGCTGTGATGCTTTGTGCTCCGAAGATGGTTTGCATTTGTTTGGTATTGTAGTATTGCTGGTTGATAATTCAACTTGTCCATGACTCTTTCCTCGTGTTTCTGAATCCTGCACGCAAGAGACTCTAGCAAATAAAAGCGAGGGCGGCAAAAGCTGCACCCATAAACCTTGTTGGTGGATCAGTTTCCTTGTCGTGTTTACATTGCTCAATGGGTGAAATGGGTCAGGAGTGAGAAACCATACCGCCAGCGATTAATTGAACAGACATTTGACATGATACTAGGTTTTCAGGGGTTTCGACATGGACAGAGGCTTTCACAAGGACAGCAAGGGGGATATCCGTGGTGTGGAAGGACATTTGATTTAACAATGATAGGAACAAGCATGTTAGAAAACCATCATGTACATACTGTCACATGTCAAAATTTGCAAGTCCGAGGCTTGCCTCTTGCCTGGCTGCAGCCAGCAGACGCATTGATCCCCAGTCAACGCAGGTGCCACTTACTTGGTGGATTTCAGTTCTTATTCAAAGCCTGATGACAGAACAGAGAGAAAGTGAGTATGCTTGGTGCTTGGCTTCTGTTTGAAGCAATGCTTTACATATGCAGCATTTTTGGTCCAACTTCCAGGCTGTTGAAGATAGTCAGCTTGCCAATGGCATCGCTTCGCTGGTTGAGTGCCCTCAGTGTAGCTGTTCAGGTGGCAGGTCAGCCACAATCTTCGACCTGCTCAAACCCAACATGTTCCAGCCCTCCCTGTGCAGCGCCACTCTTGGGTGATGTGGGTTGCACTACCGTGTCGGGGACCGAGACGTACAACCATGAGCTTTTGACAGTTGGTTCCACAATTGCCAGCAATGCCCATATCTATGGTCCCTTTGAAGCTGGGTTCACATCAATGCAGAAGAGCATCATTGAGAATTGGGGTTGCACAGATGCTTCGGTGGCCTACGACTCCGAGGGTGGCACCGATATTGGAACTGCTGAAAGCAAAGTGTCAAAGGCTTGCAACATTGAGCTACCTCGCATTGAAGGCAACAACTACTACGGGGTGGTTGGCCCTTGTGGAGGTCACACAAACGACTACCACTTCCATCGCGGCTTCACTTGCTTGTATTCTGAAAGTGGTGCGCACTCCACCAAAGTGGGTGAAGTGGCCTCTCACAACATGTATGGAAAATGGGAAGACTATGATAATCAGAGGCTTCCTCTCTTGGATGCTTGTGGAGGTCACATTGGTCCCACTCCTGAATCCAGTACTGCCGTGTACCATTATCATGTGCAAGACCAGGCTCCTTTCACCGTTGGGTGTCATGGACCCAGTTCCAGTGGGGGCCTTGTCAGCGTAGCGACATGCCGTGCTTTGTACTCCGATTGCGACAATGACGGTGGCAGCGGCACCACGATTGAGCTGAAAACAGGGACTGTGGCCTACGATCGCTTTTGCCCTTGTTTTGATGCCGCAGGGTCCAACATGGGCACCAACATTCAAGAGCTCCCGGCCTTGAGTTCCACTGAGATCTACTACACTGTCAACAGCACCACCGACTCTTCCTCGGATTCTACTTCAACGATGCCATCAGCGACTATGGACTCGGCTACTGCTTGGAGCATATCAGCCTTCTTTGTCAGCGCATGCTACTTTCTGATGTTCCAACTGTAAGTCAAGAATCTGCAGGGCCATCATGTTGGAGAGACTGGCCTTTGTTGTTTGCTTCATTGGCTCCTCCGACAGTTCTAGGTTAGACATTTCCATTGCTGACTTGTTGGAATGTAGGACTTGATACCTGGCAGCTAACATTCAAATGTCAGGTGTAATTGAGCTAGCTCATTGAGGCTCATGAATTAGCATTTCGAAGCATTTTGGCCATGGTGCAGTTGGCGCCATGTTCCCCATGCAGAGGTGGCCGAAGGTCTCTCAATGGCTTCTATTGCACGCCATGCGTGAACACAAAGCGAAACGATCACATCCTTTCACTCCGAGCACGCTCCAAGACTCAACACCTCTTGAGTGCATACTAGTTTGACACCTTCTGAGGAAAGCTGAGTCCTCACAGCTGAAGGTAAATGTGTGATTGTGTGATGTCGCAGGAGAGTGCTGACACTTGGAAGAGATCAACGCACTGAAAGTCACAGGCAGAATCCCTTTGACATGCTTCAACGTCAACTTTCAGGAGTGATACACTTCCTGTCTGCTGTGTTGCATCAACTTTGATTTCAATTCATTCCTTTTTCTTGCTGTGGAAGTGATGTAAGATACTCTTTGTCGCCCCTGGCTCCAGAGCGTTGACGTGATTTATGACCTTCCTTCGATATGTCTTCACTAGGTTGCCTACAGTAACACTTCGTTGAGCAGGTTGTCAGCATCGGAACGACTTGCTATGCCACATACATTGATTTCTAGTGGCCTATCCGGCCTATCACCACTTGGGAGAACCGGGCCACACGAAATGGGTGGGCGCCAGAGCAAGCCTGATGAAGCACCGGCGCCATCCAGCTTGCAGGAGCTGGGAGAGGTGAAAGAGAACGGATGAGAAAGTCAACGAACGGAGTGAGAATTGAACGTCTACATGCAATTGTTGCAGTAGTTCTCAATCAGTAGATCAAAGCTCCAATTGTCACGTGCTGTGGAGGATGCTGCGACGAATCTGGATCAAAAGATCGAGGAAATCGGGGTGAAGATTCAGAAGGCAGAAGAGGAGGCCACTTCAGACTTGAAGATCTTGAATGCAAACTTGCTAGTTGGACCTGTGCGTTCTCTTGAGGCGCGGCAGTGGGTGGCACAGCAGAGCATCCTCCTGAGTTGTTTTGCAGCAACGAGGTAGATGCAAGCGATTGAATATCTATCACATTTGGCAGCACAGGTTTTTGATCAATACTATACCGCTAGGCTTACTACTGAACTGGCAAACATTCTCTCTTCTCCTTGCAGTATCCAGCTGCATGATCACAGAATTGTGAGGTACCAACCCAACCGCAAAAGCACGTGCCATGCAAGCTTTGAAGCGAAGCTCGGCCTGAAATGACAGTGGAGTGTCACTGATGTAGCAGAAGCGAGACAGAGACATGAACAGAAGTCCTGTGCGACCAAGGGAAGAAGCTTTATGAGCAGCAGCGAGATCAGCTCGCACTTCACCCAGCGAGGGAATATCCAGGAGACCAATTTTTCCATACTTGAGTGATTCTTGCTGCACAGCACGATTCAGGTGAATACTCAATTCAATGTTGAGAACCTTGCCTTTCAGCAAGACCAGGTGGATTGGATATTGTTCTTGCCCCAATCATGTTGGGTCTTGCGATGCCAGGCTGAGATTACGGCACAAACCGTGCTGGCCATGAAGAAGGCTTCCCATGTTTTGTCCATTGACAGCTTTGACACTGTTTGTCCATTGGCAGCCGTTTGAGTGCATGTCTCGTTTTGAAGGCAACTGAGCAGCTCAAGGACCAACAGAAAAGGATGGGAGTTGAAGATGTCATGGCCCTGGAGGGTGGAAGCTAGCCGACTCCCTTCTCTGTAGTACGACTTTTGGCGATATGCTTGACTTTCTTTGAAAAAGGTCGACAAGCTCACTGATGACATGGCAGACATCCAGGCTGAAATGAAGGAGTTCAAAATGCCAAAGAAGATAGACAACACAGACACACAATATATAGACTCTGAATTGCTGAGAAAGATATGCGGGTTATTCATTTATTGAACTCTTCGGAGCCTCACCACTGTTTTTGTGTGGCGGAAGCAGCCAACGTTCCAGCACTCTTAGGAATTGTTCAGGAGTTTCCAGGCAATATGGCAGAGTGTCATCTTTTCAGCGACACGCCTGGAAGCATTTGATCCAGGACATCCAAGCTGCCCTGGCTGCTCCATCAGCACTGGGTGCGACCGGTGAAGATGAAGCAGAGGCAGAGCTGCAGGCGGAGCCGGAGCTGGAGCCATTTGAGCCATGTTCTTTTTTTGAGAACGCGTCAAGTTTCGCTCTTGAGACTCTTGCAATTGGCTCAACGTGTCTTTTTTTCTGTTGATAGGCTCTTTATGCACAGCAGTCGCAGAAGGAAGCAGAGGAGGTCTGGCTTTGCTCTATGAGTCCTTCTGCTAAGCCTAGAGGAAGACTTGTACACAACCTGCTTGTTCACTTAATATTTCCCCAGATAGCGAAGCTATGGGGTTCTTACTTCAAATAACATGAGTTGCCCGTGCCACTGCGTGCTTTCGAGACAGGTTGCTGGTGTTGGTGCCGGGTGCCGGTGCTGGTGCTGTGAGCTGGCTGTGCACGCTGGTGCTGTGAGCTGGCTGCGCGCGTGGTGGAGAAGGTTGCTGGTGCTGGGCGCCGGGTGCCGGTGCTGGTGCTGGTGGTGCCGGGTGCTGGTGCTGGTGCTGTGAGCTGGCTGTGAGCTGGCTGTGCACGTGGTGGAGACAGGTTGCTGGTGCTGGTGCTGGGTGCTGGGTGCTGGGTGCCGGTGCTGGTGCTGTGAGCTGGTGCCGGGTGCTGGTGCTGGTGCTGGTGCTGGGGCCGGTGCTGGTGCTGTTGTGCACGTGGTGGAAACAGGTTGCTGGTGCTGGGTGCCGGGTGCCGCTGGTGGTGCCGGGCGCTGGTGCTGTGAGCTGGCTGTGCACGTGGTGGAGACAGGTTGCTGGTGCTGGTGCTGGGTGCCGGGCGCCGGTGCGGGTGCTGTGAGCTGGCTGTGCGCGTGGTGGAGACAGGTGCTGGTGCTGGTGCTGCCGGTGCTGGCGCTGGTCCTGTGAGCTGGCTGCGCGTGAGGTGGAGACAGATTGCTGGTGCTGGTGCCGGGTGCCAGTGCTGGTGCTGTGAGCTGGCTGTGCACGTGGTAGTGGACTGGTGCTGGTGCCGGGCGCCGGTGCTTTTTGTGCTCGTTGTGTGCGTGGTGCAGATTGGGTGCTGGTGCCGGGTGCTGGCGCTGGCTGTGCGCGTAGTGGAGACACGCCACGCTGTATTGCGTGTAAAAATTGGAGCTGCTGCCTATGCAGGGTGCAGCCCAGAAAAACCTTTTGCATGCTTTTGCTATCTGGGGTCTATGCTGGAGTAATTTGTGTGTATAGCAAGGAATGTGTTGTTGATACAATTGCCAAAATGGCCATGCCATTTTGGCTCAAGCTGTGTCTCAGTGAGACTGTGATTCGAAAAATCTTCGACCCACCGCTTTTTCTTGCGAACTCTTGGCCTGCCGTGCTTCTCCCTCGACTACCCCTGCGGCTGAGCCGACCGCGGAGTGGATTGATGTCAGACGCCTGAGTCTCCCTTGGACGAGTGTCATGCTTGAGGAGGTCACAGATGTGGAGGTGGATGCAGCCCTCGCTCTGAACGATGCCATGACCTCAACCGCTGCGGCTGCAGCCCTGGGCACTTCGGGTGCTGACGGAAGGTTTCGCTGAGACGAAGTGTGAGGATGGCCTGGTGGCTGGGCTTCCCAGCTCACCGGGCCTGCGCAGCCGGTCGGACTGCTGGAATATCCGCCTGTGAGAGGGGAAATTAAAGGAACACCGGGCTTGGGCTACTTGTCCCCGTCAACTAAGGATCCTTGCCTGGCTTCACTGAGCTTCTGCTGAGGTGAGTTCATCCACCCATCGGCGACGACTTGCCCGAATCTTGGACTGCTTCAACCTTGCTGGAAAGGCTTTTGGAGGGCAATGTCATTGCAAAACGGGAGATGGGGTGCTCCTCTCCCAGCCTCACAACGAAGTCCTGCCTCCATGGACAAGGCACACCCTCCGTGAAAATTTGCGGAGCCAGCGCATCCCCTTAACAAACTCTTAACGGGTAGCCCAGGGCCAGCCCTTCCATCTCGAGATCTTGAGCAGCATCGCCCAGCAGCCACATCGGGGAGGGACTTGGGAGTGTCGAAGGAGGTGCTTACCAACTGACCTCTGTCCAGGACCAATGGCAGCGTTGATGAAGATAACAAAGTCCGCGCCATCAGCTGGGGAAGAGCCAATGCCAACATCAACCGTCCGGGACCCGTCCTGGACATCCACGAATTCCTTTCTGAAGTGCGATTCACGAAATAGGAGGTGGAACAAATGGTGGGCAGATTGAATTGCAATCTTTCTTGCCCGTTCCCTCCTGCAACCCTTTTGGACATGGTTCAAGGCCCTGGACAAGAGTGGAGCGCGTAGCCACCTTCTCCGCGTGATTGCCAAACTGGTGATGGCTCTCTTTTCTAAGAACACTGATCTTGATCGATCTGTTGAGCGCGAGCCCTTCCGCATTAGTGTCATCATCTTCTCTGCCCTGACTGCGAGTACCCAACGTATGCCACCCCTTCTCCTACATGAGTGTGACCTGCATCTGGCCACTTGAAGAGAGACTACAACGACTGGGCTGATGAGCTGTCACCCTGATCCTCAAACATTCAACGCAGCGAAGCGATTGGTTGACCCCTCCCATTTTCAATTGTTTCCATGTCATTGGAAGATTCTCACTATGTGTCCACTTTCTCCGTCTGTCCCTTTGTGATGCTTTGGCGCCGGTCTGCCCCTGGCAACCGCTAGGCTGGCTGTGACTGAGGTGGCCCACCTGCGTGTTTTTGGCAGAGTGCCTGTGGTGGGTCGTTCTGTGAGTACACCTGCAGCAGCCGCATCAAGCGCCGTCATTTGCTTGCAAAAGAGGTGTGCCCAATGCTGCAGAGTCAGGGTTGGTAAACGAACCACTTTGAACTCGATTCAAGAACACTTAATAAAAGAGAGCGGGGGACTGTGAGAGTGCATTTGACTGTGAGAGTGCATTTTGTTTTTTTTTAAAGTGTTTGGTATCATTTGACGCTCAAGATATGCAAAGACGCTTGTTTTCACTCTAGGGCAGAAGACACCACTCTACTCTAACATGGGGCCTGGGTTTTGGTGTTCCAAAAATTTTAGGTGAATGCTATTCCTGCTCTCTATATGAACAAATATATTATGTATTCCTGAGTCAGGGTCATCTTATTGTTTTGGAAGCAGCAAGCAGTCATTCAGATGGTTTTGAACAAAATAATTAGGAAAGAAGCAGGCCATAAAAGTGCCTCTAGATCTCTGCTTATAATTATGTTTAGATTTGGAAAGATTTTATATAGACGCTTTTATGTTACAAAAGATTCTCTATAGATCTCTGCAGATAATCATTTTTAGATTTAAACAACTATGTAGAAACCTTGTATGTTAAAAGCTTTATTCTAGATTTCTGCGGGTAAGAGCTTGCATTTTCAAAGTTTCCCTCTGGATCTCTGGGAAAGTAGATATCCCATATATATGTGTTCTTGAAAGAAACATATTTATTGATAAATAGCATGTTTCAATTGACATGACCATTTCCAGAGATCCAGAGGAAAGCTATTGAAATGAAAGCTTTTATATGATTTTATTGTAGAAATGATCATCCCCAGAGACCTAGAGGGAAGCTTTTGAATTAGAGGCTTGTACATAAAACAACTTTAATATGTCTGTATTATTCCCAGTGATTAATGTAACAAACAAAACCTAACTATTTACTCCAAAAAAAGAGTTTTAGTCTTGTTCCCAGCGCTCCCAGGGCGAAAAAATACTGTAAAGCACGAGGTTTTGTAGCGTGTGTTTTCTTAAACTAAATAGACTAGAGCTAGAATAGAATTAGGTAGAATTAAGTTGGATTTGAGTTAGAGCTAAGATAGAACTGAATTAAAACCGAATTTCAACTAAACTTGTATTGAACTATAACTATAACCTATTTAAAATTGGATGAGAGTTGAATTAGAAAGGAATTGGAATTAAAATTAGAAGTTCGCCAGAATAAGATGTAAAATGCTTGAGCTACAAGATGCACAAGTCGAGGAGTCGAGGAGGCTTCGAAATTACAAAGCCGAAGCAAAAGCAACAAGCATTGAATTAGAACTACAGCTTACACAGATTCATAACAATTTCATGTAGATTGGAAGGTATCATTACAGTTTCATGTCAAGCTGATTGGACATGCAACTGGCAACCACATTGATACCAATCAGAAATTAATTCACAGACTTGTACATGGAGATTTCGACAAGGACGAAGGCTTTCATTGTAAGAGCAAAGAACACATGCCTTTAGGTGAGACTTAGGCTCACATACTTGAAGGTTAAACGAAATAATAAGAACACAGATGGACCTAAATAGGAAAACCCCAAAAAACCATGAGAAAACCAATAACAACCTAGGAAAAACCAAAAAACCAAAAAATCCTTGGGAAAGCCAAGCAGGCAAAAAACAACAACAATTCTGGGTAAGTCTTGAGGAAAGGGGGGGGCCAGCCAAGAGTCTCTGCGAATAGTTTTTTGTTTTGTTATTTTTGGTTTTCCCAAGGTTCTTTTAACGTTTTTTTTTGTTTGTTTTCAATGCTTTTTGTTTTCTCTATATATTCTCGAGACTGTTTGTGTTTGTTTTCCGGTGTAAAGGACATTGAGGCAGCTTTCACAGACACATAGCATGAATGCAGGCCACAGTGGGAAGTTTATAGCACATAGATGGACGTAGGCAGCAAAAACACATAAAATACGCACTCTGGTGGTCCCCTGTTTTGTAATAAAAACAGTATATGAATGATAATGACAATGAATATAGTAATAACAATAGGAACAGTTTTCAAAGCACTAAAAGCAACAACAGCAATATATATATATATGTATATATAGTATTTGCGCAGTATGGCAGCAAGACCCCTTGCAATGCGATCTTGTGCCGGAGCCACACTGATTGCTGGGTTCAGGCCATGGCCATCCTTGCTGGTGGTGGCGGCGGGTACACACCCACCCCTGCTGTGCCCGCATCCAAAGCCGCTGCCAAAGCTGCGCCGTTGGCTGCTTGAGTCAAGGCACAGATAACCGAGGAAGACGGACGCGATTTCCTTGCTTCTTTGTGCCAGTTGCATGCTTTGCCCAGTTGATGTCTCCTTTTTGGTTGTTATCCCAAATGAGGCGCTGCTGGCAGCGACAATCGAGTGAAGCACTCCGCGAAAATGACCCTGCCTTTATAAACCAACTTTTTAGATTGCTTGTGGACTTGTTGTTGTTTCAGATTTGTGGAGTGGAGTAGTTGTTTTGCGCCGTTTTGCCTAGCTGTGAATGCTGGCTCTGGCCCGGTGTCACCCAGAAGCACCACCCAAACCTGCAGGGAACAACATGAGGCAAAACAAAAATGTTTGAACTTGTTTTAGTTGGTTCGATTTGTTGAGAGGGTGTTGCCTTGCTTTAGAGATGTTTCGTCTCCTGGACAGAAGAAAGACTTGGAGACACGATGTGAGGTCTCTTTAAAAAGGGCCTTCGACGGCGGATTTCTAGTTGCTGATAGTGTTTGTGTGTGTGAAACTCCCACACCCAATCTTGTTGACCTGCATGGAGCATTGGAACATTTCTGATGCCCAAATTTTTGCAAGCTTTTTGGTCGTGCAGGACGACACAGTCGTCGGAGCTCACGGAGGATGCCCAGGGAAGTTGAGGACAGCCGAAGAGAATTTTGCTTTTGGGCGTTTTGATTTTGGGTTGGTTGTTTGAGCCCAGGCCGTTTACGCCAATGAGCTGTTGATAGCTTTCTGAGACTTTTTCTGGAACACCGTTCCCTTCATTGATGCTGACCTCGGCCACGGTGACTGGTTGGACGTTCTGTCGACAAGCTCCTTTAGATTCTCTCTGAGTCTGTGATGGGTTGTATTGATTTGTTTGGCCTTACCAAACATTTGGGCCACAATGCTGTACATAGATTCTTGATTAACTGCAGATGTTAGTTGCTGCAGTGGGACTTCAAATGGAGAGTGAACATGCTGCTCCTCCAGTAGCCCAAGTGCATGACACGAGACGATTTGGCTCGAAACTGGATTGAAAAGGCCCTTTCTAGACAAACATTGCGGTTCGGATGACAGAGGCCTGGAAGCTATACTCAGCAGCTGATTGCCAGAGTGCATGAGGCAAGATGGAGCTTTTGGCAAGTGCAAGCAAGAACATTGTTGATATCTCACGGTCTTGCCACAGGCTGGTTTGCAGACCTATGAAGCACGTTCTGTGGAAATCCTAGATCCAAGCAAGAGCTGTCATTAGTGTACCACTGTGGCACTTTAATCACACAGGCCTTGCATGAGTGATGAACTTGGGAGGTTGATGATGTCAATTCCCTTGCGCGGCCTAAAGAGCTAGTAGGAGTCCGCCTCCCAGAGACTTGTGATACGTGCCCAAAGCATATCGTCTATCGTGTGACCGTTTTGCCCTGACACTTGCGGACTTGGAGGCTTGTTGTGAGACATCCGAAGTAGGCCTCATCATCTCATGCGGCAGCCCCAACCTCAGCATTCAGAACCTCCGAATTACTTTTGTGTGTTTCTTCTTGTCGTGCTGAGCGTGCTGTTCTTTTTTTTCAACAAATCTAATATATATATATATGTATAATATATGTCTGTCTACAGACGTACATATTAAAGATCACAACTGAAACAAGTCGTCACACAGACATTTTGCAAGCTGCACAAATGCATACCAAAGTTCTTGCCAGTTAGGCCCAGTTGAACTTACCGAATCGGTAGATTTGCGTGCGCATGTGTGCAAAACGCGCTGACCTTAGAGAATTAATGACCGGAGTTCGCGTGTGCACAGCAGTGATATTTGAATTGATTGAGTACTGTATATTCGTTTGAGTTCTTATGCATCATGCCAGGACTGCGGCCATGCTTCTATTTCCCAAAGCGCAAGGTGCTCAGGATGGGAGAAAGGTTCTTAAAGAAGCCAACATGTCACGAATCCACGAATTGAGGCCAGTGGTTGGCATTTGCTACGGCATGCAACTCCTCGCATTGCTTTACGGCGGTCTCTTGAAAGAGCCACTTGCTGTAAGTGTACTTTTTGACAAACCAGCACATTCGTAGTGTTGGCACAGTCTGTACCATAGTTGCCTTAGGCAGCGAGAGTCTGCCCACAAAGGAGTGTGTCTCAGCTGCATTACAGGCCCACCCAGAAAACAATATGATAAAAGTACCAAGTGATGCATATCGAGATGAGGAAGTAGACATGGAAAACTTTTGTGGAGTAAACAAAGATGTTGAGATGCTGAACTCTCAGCGGGTGAGAGCCTCCAAGGTGGGCTGAAATGAGGACCACACCGGAAGTGAAATCTCGCTTGTCCTCTCGACTGATTTGCTGCCGATGTTGGCCGTTTGCCAGTTTTGCTTTGCGATAGGCACTGTCTCGCAGCTGTTTTTGGCCGCATCAGTTTAGAACAGCTTGTTTGCAAGGAAGTCACTTGGGAACCAGATAACTGAGACAAATGCCTGAGGAACCTAGCAAAGAGCCTTATTTATTTTGTTGTCAAGCGTCATTGTCAAGAAGCATGAAGGGTCTCGCAGCCTGCATGCTGAGCAGTGCAGCCAACAAGAATGCAGATCATTCATTTCCTTTGCTTTATCAGAAATCAGTCGGAAACATGAAGTTGCATGGATCCAATTACGTCAAAGCGGGGCGATTTGCAGATGAGCTTGGGGCTCCCGGAAAATCTGGGGTCCAGGATGGATGAAGGCTGTTTGTTACTGCTGCCGCGCTGCCGCACTTGTATGACATGCTACTGTATGGCATTTGTGGCACCGGCCTCAACTGCAATGCTATTTGACGGTTTCGACTGTGTTCTGTTGAGAGCGTTTCCCTTGACGCTAGCTTGAGACTTGTCATGATTTGTCTAAGTCTGAGGGGGGGTGGCAAATGATGGCTGTTGTCCAGTGGCCTGCTCTCTTATCGATTTTGGCTCAAGTTTTTCAGCTTTTGCCTGAGTGCTTTGGGCCAACAGCTGGTGACACGCAAGCAGGCTGGAGTGCCCGTTCGCGCGAAACAGAACAGCAGGTGACTCGATGCAGACGCTGTTTGTTTTTCGACACTCAGGATATGGGATGTGCAGCCTCTAGCAAGCAGGAGGTGACCAAGGTTGGGATACAGACTCTCGCCCCGAGAGTTTTAAAAGATGGTGTTTGCCTGGCCGATGGCAGGTTTACTTGACGACTCCAGTGGTGAGATTTCGCGATAGCACGGACGATGATGACTTGATACTGCTGGAATCTGGAGCACCAGTGTTCAGGAAAACAACGGGACGTGATTTGATTTTGCAACTTGCTGGCATTATTCTGTGCTAAAGCTGCTCTAGAGTTAGAAGCAAAATCATGCAAGCCAGCCGATGGGCTAGGTGAGAGTTGGTTAACGGGCGGGCCAAATAGTGTTGGTAAAAGGGATTGCAAAGAGTTCAAACAGTTTCAACTTTGATGTCTTCGTGATGTCGATGACGCACAGGGTTTATGGCTTGCATCATTTGCATTTTAAGTAAACTTGTAGATGGATGGCTAGCTGGATGGATGGGTGGGTGGATGGATAGACTAGAAGGGGACAGAGTGTCAGAGAGATAGCGAGACAGAGAGATAAGCTGAAGAGATAGAAGGACAGAGAGATTGGTAAGTAGATGTGGCTACATGTATAAAGATTATATGCAAGTATATAATAGATGAGGATAGATGTGTGTAGTGTAGATAGGTCGATGGATGACTATATAGTTGGACGAATAGGTGGGTTGCTTCCCGGCTTTCCTATCCTTCCCTCTCAGGTAGCGATGTTTTCAGGCATGTTTTGCTCTGAGGAAAGATGAGTCACTCCCAGCTGGACGACACTCTCTAAAGGTGGATGTGCGCAAGATTGGTGGCAAACAAGCAGAAGCCTAGATAGTGACACGGGCGAACATGTTCGACTACAGGCCCTACCAATATGGAAGTCCACGTAGCACATGAACTGGAAGCGTAGAATCGTAGAACATGAACTGGATTGTCCTAGCATTGGAGGGATAAGAATCGCCTTTCTTCAATTGATCTACTAGTAACAAGAAGCTCTTTGGATTTCATTCATGCACTCTGCCACGCTGAATTCATTCTCCCGAGCGTCGCAGAGTTGTGAGCTGCCGTTCTTGCACAGCCAGGAGCTTGCGATTTGTTCCAATGTAGTATTGGTTCCGCCTCACGTAGCTTTCACGGTGGAGTCTTGGCACAGTCTTGGGCCACAGTCTGCAAACCTTTTAAGTGAGGCCAGGATTCACAGGGCGTGATTTGTAGCGTGGTTCATGAATTCTGAGGAATGGGAGTCAGGAAGACCACATGGACAGATGGAATTGCCAGGAAGCTTTAATGGTATAGTACCAATTGTCGGGATCTCAGCTACAGCGAACAAGCGTTGCTCAGGATTTCCATGCACCCAGGCTTTGGCCACTCCGGAATTCTTGGCCTACTACGGTGCAACTTTGACGTCACAATTCTCAACAGAGATGATTACTTTGAAGGTTCCCTGGTTGAACCACCTCTGTTGAGTGCACAACAAATTTCCCATCAAGCTCGTTTCTGAAGCTCCAGCGAGTGGAGGCCCAACATGAGCTGATAGAGTTTGAGTACTCTCCGAATTACAAGGACGAGTCGGATGAGTATTGAAAGCAGGGGATAAACTATTCATTTGCCTTTAAATTATTCTCAATGACTGTTTGGCTTTGTTTGTAGGAGAAGTGGGTGCTGAATCCAGACTTTGGCCCTGGTGCATTGGGCCTCGAAAAACATGAGTTTCCGCATTTGGAGTGCCTGGACATGGAGATATGGACAAAACTGATTTCATCGATTCTTGCTTTGATGCGTAGCTCTCTAGCTGTTTTTTCAGACCTTGGATTTTCTGTCGTATTCATCAAAGAGTTGAGCACCAAAATACTGTTTGGCGTCTCAGCTATTCCAGGTGTCCATTGGATGAAAACAGTGGTATATTGCTGCTTGCAAAGTATGAACACAAGGCCCTATGTGTATGGAGCATGCATTGTGTGCATCAATACATTCATGGATGAACCGTTTGGGAAGAAACACGGCAATGTGTCTTGGACGTGACTACTCTATCGTTGTCTCAAAGATGCAGGAATTGCATCTCACTGGCTTCAGAATCCCAGCCTATCACACCATCTACTTGGTTTTGATCTCAGAACTGAAACACCAGCAAAAACCGCAAAACGGAGCGGCGGTTCGCGCAGGGCACACAGATTTGGACCGCATAGACTCGTCTTGAGGCTCCACAGGTCATTCACTCCAATGATCACCTCCGCAATCGGTGGAAAACGATGCTCACGTCCTTCACAGATGAGGAAAGGGAAAAGGGGTCTGCAACTGAGCCCTTTGCTGATCGAAGCTCCAGTGCTTTAGTAAACATGCAAACATGCAGCTCAATTGCTAAGGTTGGATGACATCGACCATGTCTTGCTAAAGCAGAAACATGCTGATGGTTCCCTTGTGCCTGCAGAACTTCAGCTCAGAAAGCAACACTTTTTGTGGATTTGGTCGAGCACCTTCAAGGTGTGCAATGCATCGATGCCACAAACGCTACACTTGCTGGAACTAGCATGGAAATGGAAAATGGTCCCTTGGAAGCCCATTTTCCTTTATTCCCCAAACAGTTTACTGTTGGGGTTCTATCTTAGAAAGAAAAGAGCTGGCCACACTCACTGGCCGCGCCCCTGATCTCTGTGGCTGGGCCCTGTGGCTGGGCTCTGTGGCCGGGCTCTGTGGCTGGGCCTTGTCCTCCTCTTGTCCTCCTCTTGGCCGCGCCCCTGAACTCTGTCAACTCTGTGGCTGGGCTCTGTGGCTGGGCCTTGTCATCAGAGAAAAAGAGAGAGAGAGATGTAAAATTCAGCAGCTGTTTGTTTGTCGTTTGTTTGTGCACGTCTCTGTATTGTTTTCCTCTCTGGCAATTGTCCTTAGGCTCAAGGCCTTTGGTCCAAGGTGCATTTTACAGCACCGTGCAATTGTACATGAACACTATGATAGAGCAAATGAACCATTGTAAAAGAACTTGTCTCTTGACACCGTCCCTAGGTTTGATTCATTGTTGAATCACACCGTCACCATAAACATTGTTGAAACAGTAAAGAAACATTGTTCTACAAAGCAGTTCAAAAATTGTTAGCAAGTCTGTACAGCTTTTCTGCCATTGTCTCTCCAGCATTGTTGCCCTTCTCATCGTGGTGCTCGTGGGCATTGTTGCCAGAGACTTGCAGCTTGTAGAGCCATTGTTCTACTCTTGCGACTCTTCCATCTGGCCGCTGGTCGATTGTCGAGGGCGTTTTGTGCCCTTTCTCCTCTTCTTCATCTTCTGACCTTTCCATATTGTTCTCATTGTATAGGACTACTTGGTCCTCCCACAAGGAGATTGTCGAGTTTGTGGGAAGTCGACGCTGATTGTGGTAGTCTGGAATCGTCATCTCCATGCCCATTGTTGCCCTTAAAATTGTTCTCGAGAAAGTCAATCCCGATCGTCAGCGCTCGTGTGCCGGGAAGCGGCTGCGGTCAAAAGGATTGTTGCCAAATTGTCAACTGAACATGCATTGTCTTCCAAATTCAGAAAGCAAAACTTCAAACATATTGTTCATCGAATTGTTCTACGAGTCGACGAGATCCATTGTGAGACTGAAATCTTGTAGTACATATTGTCTATGACATAGTATGCACATAGTAGCTAAAGTAGTGTGCCATGGCTTGATGCCGCCGTGTATGTATTGTACACGCGTGGATGCTGCCATGGTTGTGAAACTGTTTGTGCGATCGCAGTTCAGTTGTGGTGTTGTGGGCATTGAATGCCCGCCATGTAGAGGTGTTTGTTAAGCACCTCTGCCGGGACATACTTTGTCAGTATGTCTGCTGGGCTGTCGTGTGTGTTGATCTTGTGTATTGACAGTACCCCGCTTTGTACCAGTTGTTGTATGAAGAGGTACTTCAGGTCAATGTGCTTTGCTTTCTTTGACGAGCCAATTCTTGTTGCAATGCTTTTGCCACTTGTGCTGTCTGTGTGCAGGCGAATGTTCACCTTTGTTGTTGTGGTGGCTTCCTTGATGAAGTTTGCTATATGTAGTCCTTCTTGTGCTCCTGTTCCTATTGCATATAGTTCTGACTCTGCTGATGATAATGCTACTACTGCTTGTGTTCTGCTTCCAAATGGTACCACGGATCCCATCATTGTCACGATGAATCCACTTGTGGATTTTCTTGTGCTTGGGCATCCTGCCCAATCTGCATCGACATAAATGTTGAGGTCGATGGGTTCCTTTGTCTGTGGTGTATGTGTTGTCCTCAGGATCATTTTGTAGTGTTGTGTTCCCCTGAGGTATCGTAGGAGGTGCTTCACCTTTGCGAAGGCTTTGCTGTGTTGGTTGTTGTAGATCTCGCGCTAGTTCTTTTGTTGCAAAGCTGATGTCTGGTCTTGTGTAGGTCAGCCATTGTAGCTTTCCTACTGCTCTCCTGTAGTCTGCATGTTCTTGTGCATCTAGAGGTGCGTCATCGTTTGTGGATTGTTTCAGGGTTGCCGTCCCTGGAGTTGATGCTGGATTGCTTGCTTCCATCTTTGTTTCCTTCAGCAATGTAGCGATGTATTCTGGTTTGAGGCTCACCTCAAAGAAGTCTCCATTGTTGTGGATGTCTCTGCCAAGGAATTGGATTGTCTGGCCAATTCCCAAGGTGCCGACTGGTCGTAGTAGTACATGCTTTTGTACTTCCTTGAAAGTCTTGTCGACTTCTTGTTGTTGTCCAAGGAATAGTAGGTCATCCACATAGACCATCGCAAACATTGTCTGTTCATTGTTCCTGTACACGTTGGGTTCACTTGTCAGTCGGGATAGTCCCATCTGTTGTAGGACTTGTGCAAAGTGATCCTGCCAGGATTTTGGACTTGATCGTAGTCCACAGATTGCTTTGTTGAGCTTCCATACTGTGGTTGTGTTGTGACCACTTGGGTATAGTTCTGGTGGTGGCCACATGTATAGGTTGTCTGTTGCTGCTGGTGCATGTAGGAATGCTGTTGACACATCTCCTGCTTGTATTGTCCATTGGTTGTGCTGTGCCATTGTCAGTAGGATGCGTAAGATCCCAAAGATAGGTGTGCTCGCATAGATGTTGTCAAGGTCTTGGGTTGTTTCCAAGTAACCTTTTGCTACTGTGCGACATCTCACTTCCTCTTGTTTGGGTTTGTTGACCCACTTGGATTCTATGATCTTGTTCTTGTGTTCTTCTGGGACATCATTGTAGTTCATCTCTGCGAACACTCCTTGTGTCTTCATCGATTGTGCTTCTTTCTTCATTCCTTGTTGTACTTTCAATGGATCAAGACCTTCATTGTCGTAGACGCAGGGTTCTTGTAGCATCCTTTCCACTTCTGCTTCTTGCTCATCTTCACAGGATGCTGTGGTGATCTTGTCACCTTTCTTTGTGGCGATTGTCACTGCTTGTATTCTCATCTTTGCTTTTGGTTGTTCTTCATCTTGTCCTCTGTTTGCTGCTGTTGAGGACTGTGCTGTCCTTGATTGTTTGGATTGTGCTTCACTGTATAGGCTCCTCGTGTTGTCGCCTGCTTGCTGGTGGTAATGGCAGTGGTGGTCTTGCCATTGTTGTTGGTGAAGTTGCCAATGGTGATGTTGCCATTGTCGTATCCATTGGCTGATGATGCATTGCTTGTGTTGGTAGCGCCAGTGGTGTCTCTTGTACTGTCTGTGTGCTTGTATCTTCCACTGTAATGTCAGCTTGTGTGCCGATCGCTTGTCTGCTTGTGGTGTTGTCACCTGATAGAAGCAATTGTGGCGGAATTGCCATTGGTGTTGTTGGCAAGTTCCATGATGGATACACGTTGATGGTATCCAGTAGTTGCTTATCGTACTTGTCTGGCATGATCTGTCTTCCTATTGTTCTTGCTCTGATGACCTTGCCAGGGATGCCAACTATTGACTCTCCAGTCATTGTGTCTCTGCCAAGCCAGATTCCTTTGAAGAATCTTGGCTCCATCTTGGGTTGTGCTTTTGTTGTTGGTATCATGTATTGTACTGCTTCTGCCATCTCGCATAGTGGTGCTTTGTGGTCCTTCTGCCATCGTCTTTGGTAACTTGTTTGTCCGTCATTGTGCATGGCATACCTGTTCAGTAGCCAGGCTGCACGCCGTACAATCCACGGCATGACCAGATGTTGTACGCTCAGTGTGAGGTTGTAGCTTGTGGTCACTTGTTGTACCAGTGCTCGGACTTGTCCCATCAAGGTGCGGTGGAATCGTTCAATGCTTCCTTGTGATTGTGACGAGTATGCCGGTGATTGTCGGATGTTGACGTTGTTTCCGAGCTTTTGTGCGACGGCCTTCAGTAGGTTCTGTATGTATTCTTCTTAGTCTGATTGTAGTGTTGTGTTAGATAGTGTTGCTTGTGCTCGTCCACATTCGAACATGAATGTTTGTAGACATCGTATCAGGTATTGTTGTCGTTGGTTCTTGTCTTGTACAAGAACTGCCATTGCCATGCCTGATTCGGCATCTATTGCTGTCAGTACTGGTAGTACTTGTTTGCCTCCAAATGCTTTCATGTAGGTGAAGTCCACTTGTATCACTGGTTGTTTGCTTGCTTGCTTTGGGTGATTGTCTGTTCTTCCTTTGCTCTTGACACATATTGGGCACCATGAGCGGTATGGTAAATGTGTCAGCTCATGTTCTAGTCTTTCTTGTCTTGTTGGTTGTTGTGGCGCCTTCATCCCTTTGGCGCGTTGTGCTTGTTGAGATTCATCTTCATTGTCCGTGTCGTACTCGAACTTGTACGTCGCTCCTTCCTCGAAGTTTGTTGATCCTGTCCATTGTCTGTCAAGCTGTCTTGCTCCTGATTCCTGCCAATTGTCATGGATTGTGTATCCTCTTCCTTGTTCCGTTCTGTTCACGAATGTTGTCCGTGTAGGTTTGAGTCGTCCAATGTCTGGACCATCATCTGTCTTTTGTGGTACGTACATCGTCGTCCGTGCTTGTACGTGTACTCGTTTCCAATAGTGTCCTTCTCTGATCCAATAGTCTGTGGTTGGTGTCATTGTGGATGGATCAGGTACTGCCGTGGTTGTTGGTGCTGGCTTCGTCGTTGTGTGTCTGTATAGTGGCTCTCTGCTTGCCTGTTGTGTTGTCCCGTCTCTTTGCGGGATCCGTAGTGTTGTGGATTGATGTCGCGCCTGTATTGCTTGTGCTGCTTGATGTCGTTGTTGTAGGTGCTGGTTGTGTTGGCGGCTTGTTCACTCTGAACCATGTTTCTCCTGTCTACGTGTCTCCTTGTATCACTCGTCGTTGTTCGTGTTTGCTCAAGTCATGGGATTGTTCAACAATGTCTTCGTTGTTCCCGTCTGTTCGCCGGATGATTGTTCGTCTGTAGTTGCTCAAAGTCTCCAGTGGCACTAGGCAATTGTCGCCAGGAACAAAGAGAGCTTTCCTCTTGTTCCAGTGATACCGTACAAGGTATCCTTCATTGTTGTAGTTCCAGTAGTCGCTGTTGCCTCCAAGAACTTGTTGTGGTCCATGTCTTGTCAGTGTTGTGGGGGCAATCATTGCATTCATGCCCTTTTGTGTATGTCTCAGCTGTAGTTGTTGATGTTGTCCCAGGTTCATGACTGTTGCTGGCAAGTAGTAGAGGTTGTGCTGCTGCGCCAAGGGAACATTGAATCCCTTGTCATGGCGCATTGTT